GGGTCAACCCGAACCCGACCCGTTTTTTAAACGGGTCGAATCTGTGAACCCGAACCCGACCCGTTTATCAAACGGGTCGGGTCCAACCCGGATTTTCCGGGTTGGATTTTCGGGTCGTGTCAAAAGTTGACACCCCTATATGTTGGAATCTCTTAAAATGAATAGAACTCCTTTGGATACACTTTATGCACTTCAAAAGAGTCTTAAATATGAGAGAATGTGCTCACCTCTCTATCTTGTAAAAGTTTGGCAAGTAAAATTTTGGTAATGACTCGGATGAATTCTGATGCCGAGTTCTATGTTTCAAATCGTAAACCTGGCTATATAAACAGGCTTTATCTAAATCATCATCCTTGAGTTAGACAATATGGAATTTGGGAAAGATATGGTGATTTATATCTTGACAGCGATATTGTTTTTGCTATTGGTATTAGTGAATTCACGAAGGATTGGTTTTTTGCCAAGAACTCATATTCCCCAACCAATTTGCAAATTAAATTCAAAGTCAACTATTTCAATCAAAATGAATCATACATGCTACAAATAACAATCATGTATGCTACTCTATCTGAAAGGCTAGTTCAATTCAATGATTTCAAAGTTGAACCTCCTCTCTTAGATTGGGGAAAGCCTCTTCATGTGGCAATTTTGATATCTGCATTCAAAGTTTTCGTCCCAAGGATCTGGTTAGGATGTCCACCTCTACCTCGATCCCTTCCGATGACGAGCCTCAACGGAGTCGAGCTCTTTTGACGCAAGGGGAGAATGATGCGGAGCATTTTAACTGAGTGCAGTTTTAGGAATAGATTACCTCTTGTACCTAGTTCTCTAGTGTTTTCTAGAATATTCTATAGCTAGCATTTATATGGAGCATTGCAGTATGATAGAGGCATTCATGAATATTATTCTCTTTTGAAGCATTGGTGCTTATTTTTGCTCCCTGGATTGGAATTGCCTTTTGTTATTACTAACTTTTGTTATCTTCGAATTAGGACAACCCTAGCCAAGAGCAGAATTAGGGTAGGGCATGTGGAGAAAAATTTATATTTCTTATGTTATGTGCATCTCTCCTCATAGTCTTGTCATATTTAGCCCTTCTTGTTCCATTGTCATCGCCGCATCTTTTTTAGCATGATATAGATGTTAAAATTTTCGATCTTTATCTTAATTTTTACATCTTCTACGTTCACTTCTATAAGTTATTTTTCTCTGAGGTCTCTTTCTTGTCATGCATGTTTTATCGAACCAAATTAAGGAATTAACCCTACTTGAAATCTGTTCACCAGTCTAGTAAATTGCTATCTTCTTTGGCTTCGTTTGAGACGGCTTTTTTATTGCTTTCTAAAACGGAGTTTTAGTACAAAAATAAAAAATTTTGTACTAAAACTCCGTTTTAGAAAGCAGTAAAAAAGCCGTCCCAAACGAAACCTTTGAATAATTTTACATATAATGCATTTCTCATTTTCCCATTAATAATCAAACTGCAAATACGCAAGCCAACAGTGTTGCCATTGCCCACTCTTCGACCACTATCACCGCCCGCTTGACGACCACCACCTCACAGTTGCCCGCCACCCGCCAACCATTGACCCTTCTATCCTCCGCCATCACTTTCATAATCGACAGTGTAACAAATATTAGGATATTATCAAATAAAGGAAATGAAATAAGACTTAGGCTTCATTTGTGACGGTTTTTTTTTACTGCTTCATGAAGCAAATTTTTTAGTGTAAAGATTAAAATTTTTTATTAAAATTTTATTTAAAAAAATAATAAAAAAATCTTCTCAAATGAAGCCTTAAATCACATGCTTATGCTAATAATCAAAATCATCCTTGCTATTGATATTTTTTCAAAAAAAAAATAACTAAATTAATAAAAAATGGCATTCAAATAATAAAAAAGTAATGAAAGAAACTCATACTGGTCCTGTCTTTTTGCATGGAATGCTAAAAGGCAAGTATTTCCAATCAAAGAAAAAGGCTCTGTCAGCTCCCTTCTCCTCCCCAGCTGTCATATTTGCTCTAAGCCTGGTATTGGCAAAGCATGCACATCACTTTCAGAAGAGTTATTAATGAGATAGAGATAGAGAGAGAAACTGTAGAGAGATAGAGAGACTGTAGAGATAGAGAGAGAAACTGTAGAGAGAGAAGAGCATGCAGAAGGGAAGAGAAAGGAGTTCAAGTCTTCTCCTTTCCACGTCACTCATTTGTGTAGAAATGGGAGGGATGGGACTGTCCTCTGGTGCTCAATTCCAGAGAGTTACCTCGACATTTTGAACAGAATAGAAAAAATCAGTGATTTTTAGATATTCAAATATAAATAAATTTGTTCAGAAATGTATGGGGAAAAAAATCTGATTTTGGAATGCTTTTTATAAGAATATTTAAGACTTCATAAGATTATTTTTATAAATTTCACTTGATTTTAAGTGATTAGATTAATCTTAAAAGTCTTAAAAAATCACATAAAAAGCATTACTCTACTAATTTTCGTCTTTCTCAAATCAAGTCACTACTAAAAAATATAATTTTTCGCATCAGTTGTTAGGAGCGGTTAGAAAACCGCCACCAAAACTAGAGCGAATAATTTTGGCTTCGTTTGGGGCTGTTTTTTTAATTGTTGTCTAAAATGGCTCTCTAGTACAAAATTTTTTTAGTTAAATATTTGTACTACATAGTTACTTTATAAAATAGTAAGAAAGTCGTCCCAAACAAAGCCTTAGATAGGAAAAATAATTACGTGCGAACGCCGAACACCTTTCGAAGACCGACCAGAATGTGCCACGCCACCCCTTCGCTCAATACCGCTGGCATTGTTGCACCTGATTCGCCTCCGAACTTCAGCACAAAATAATTTCTCCTTAGATAAACTCATTTCTTACAAATACGTATCCTATATTTACTAATGATCGAACGGGTGAAAAATAATCCAACCATATCGTCACAAAAATATATCTCATCCTTCAATAAATTTTCCCATACATCTTGATATGAAAACCATGCATAATTTAAGATTTCGTCTGGGACGGCTTTCTTACTGCTTCTTAAAACAACTTTTTTCATCAACATTTTAATCTTTGCACTAAAAAATTGATTTTAAAACAGCAAAAACCAGTCTCAAATGAAGCATAAATCATCAAAATAGATCAAATTTTAAAAAATATTTGATGTGAG